TCTCTCACAGTACTGTTGGAAAAGATGGTACTGGTATAATTGCCAGATTGACTTTCAGATGTCTTGCGATGAGTGCAATGTGATAATAGCTCCAGTGATGATAATAATGACCACAAGTCCTGTAAGTGACAAATTCTGTTGATTCAAGGGGAGGGAAATTGATCTCATCATACAGTGTCCTCTTACACACGTACAGTATCTGCCAAAATCACACAAAGTCACACACATATCAACATGTGCTAATTACAGTGACTAAGAAGAAAATGAGTAAATTCTCCATGTGAACTCATGATTCCAGCAACATGACACTTAGTGAAACTTGGTCCTCATAACAGTGATAGCAATTGGTGAAAGTGAGCTGTAATTTCAGAACAGTTCAAAATATCAAAATGCTGGGAACAAAAAAATGTCTCAGGATAAATATCAAATCAGAATATAGGGAAAAAATAATACATTTTGACATTGTCTTAACTTATTAAGTTTATAAATGTTAGTTGATGCCTAAATCATAATAAAACACATTTCTTTTAGCCTTAGAAAACTGCTCTGTTGGGAAGATCACTCCAAAACAGCAAAAGAAAAACATGAAACCACGATCTGTTCAAAGTGTCAGTGAGAAATTTTTCCTTGTACAGACTTCAACATCAGCTGTGTAAAATATGGTGTGTTTTGTTCTTCTTGCCTATGGATGTGGTAGAAAGAGATGGGTTGGCAAAAGGTTTCTTAGCAACTGTGCATGCCCACACTACCCAGCCATGTCTGTTCTCCCTGCTACAGTTCAAGAGCCCAATGGGAAATATATGGGGAATAAAGTAATTTCACATCTTCCAAGCTCTGTAGCAGGCAGTCTTTTTCAGGACTAGTTCAGTAACTCAGACCTGAAATAACCAAGTCATTGCAGCACAAGATTCAGAAAGGTTAGACAGAGAACAGTTAGTCTGTGGATGTTGGATTCCATGAAGACCCTTAGGATGACAGAGTGAGAAAGGGGTGAGTGTGGGAATGAACTGATCCAACTCTGTTCTTTTCACAAGGACATCTGTTACATTACTAAAGAGCAAAGTTTTGCCTGTGTGTTTCCGTCTCAGTAAATCATTTGAATCGAGTGACAGTCAACAGGGACTCTGTGTGTTTTTATGTTCTTCATATCTCCTCTCGAATGATGTTTACATCTTGTGGTTCACAACAAATATGAAATGATATTTTGATATGATACATGATAAGTTTAGTTATCATCAGTTTAGTGTCATCTGTAGACTGACAGTTTTTAGACAAATCTGTAGCTCCACATTTTCTGAAGTGCTTGAGATCATTGCAGTTTATTAGGTACAAATTGTGGTTTGGTTTAATACAGAAAAAAAAAATGTTTACATGGATTTCAGACAGGACATGTTTATCTAGGCTACATTTAACAATCTTTCTGATCTTTTTCAAACCTTAACCAAAGTGCACTGTTGCCCTACGGAGAGGGCTCCAGATGCGATCCTTGTTGTGGGCTTTGCAGACTGTCACAATCCCTGTCAGACGCCCTCTCTTCACCCCAACCACCTAGCAACTCAGCTGAAGCTCAGCTCCATTCATTCAAAAAATATGTTGTGGTTGTACATAATCCAGCCTACAAAACATATGTGCTGTTGCTGCTTAGTTGTGAGTGAGCCAGCACATTCCCTGTATATGGCTTACCTACACATTTGAAAAGGAGGGGATAATTATCATCATCATCATCATCATCATCATCAGTAATTCGCAGGACCTTCACCATTGTCACAATTTCTGTCTTAGTCCTGTTTATTTTTGCCATTTTGCTCATCTCCTGCCACTCTCCATCTACATCAGATGTCTTCAGACTTTCCTCCCTGTCTCAGTCACCTAACTCCCCCACCCACTCATTTCTCACTTATCACCCAGCCCTGACTCCCACACCCACCTCACCTGTTCCCCAGTCAAGCTCATAGTATACCCCAGTCATTTGCCAAATCATTGATTTTCATGTTCTGCATGCTGTTGCGTTCTTGTCATCCTCTGACCTGTTTTATAGTTACCTGTTGCTGTACCAGCCTGTAAGTCATAACTATCACTATCTTTACCATAGAAATCACTGAACCGTTCATGCCTGCCTAGTCTGCGTCAGCATTTGGGGCCTTCTTCCTGTTGCGTCCAACACAAACCAATAGTAAAGACAGAGGAACTGACCACTGTGTCAGCTAAACTTACTTTATTTATAAGCAAAGGCATAGCGCCACTCAGGAAACATAAAATAGGCTATCCGTTAGTAAAGTTTGTAATTGCAATAAGCATAATCAATTATAGTCATGCTTGGCCACTGTCTTCCTCCATATGAACCATTTCCTTGGCAGATGAAGCCTTTTAGGAGGAGGTGTAATTTCTGGACATTGTAAGTCATGCTTTCTTGTCTGTGATGAACCTAAACTCACTTTTTCTGATGTTGTTACATTTCCTCAGAAATGTAGAGGGAAGATTTGTTCACTAAGCAGATGTAGCCAAAGTTGCTGAGGTCAGGGATACAGGATGTTACTTTTGGCAAGAATACAACGGATAAAGAGCAGATATAATTCCCTTATCTGACTATTGTATCTGTTTAGCCCTTTAGAACTAAGGAGAGACAGGTGATCAGCAGTTGATTGCAGTACATATACACACACACAGAAAATGAGTTTGCTAGTGTTGTTTAAGGATGCCCTTGCATTGCCTCCACTCCTCAACTCTGCAAAAAGATATATAAGCTTTTTCTGTGAGATTGTTTTGGAGATTCTTTTTAACCCCTAATGACCAAAATGTGTGTAATGCAACTTCAAAATAAATGGTAATTAATGAAATAACCCCTTTGAATTTGAAAAACATACACTTGTGGAAATGTCACAATGAATATACGTGATGCAAAAATCTTATGAACCAAATTAAAAATATGTTGTTTTAGTTCAGGCATCTATTCTGGAAGATGTAAAAATTCAATTGGTGTACCACCATGATGCAACAACAGTGATGCTGCCCTCACATAGACCTTAGGCATAGACATAGAAAAAATCTGCAAAATTATTTTTGTTGTTCTTTTAAAGTTCCTTGCCAGACATGTTTTTGACAGTGTAAAAATACTATTTCTGAATAACATGATTTTCCCACAAAAATAGTGAAAAAAAAAAAAAAGGAAAACTTGGGCTGGAAGCACATGTTTACTTCTTCATTGAGAAATTCTGATTCAGGCCTTGTACCCAACCCACCACCATTGGGTCTAGGTCAGCAGGTGAAAGAGGAGTGTTGTCCTTTGCTAGGAAACATTGGACAGACTCATCCACATGTTTGAGCCTCAGTCAGACCCACACTCAGGAGTCTGTTGAGGGAGTGAGTGTCATGGTTTGCCATGGCAGACACTTTTTGTTAGTTTGTTTGGATTTTTGTCACTTCCTGTTTTATTTTGTAGTTGGTTTCCTTGTGTGTCTCAATGTTTTTACTTCTTGTCTTGGTCCTGTTTTTCTGTGTGGTGATTGTCTGCCCCGCCCTAATGTGTTTCACCTGTGTTCAATCACCCTTGCCTCTCTTGTGTCTATATAGTCTTTGTGCTCCCCTTTGTCTGTGTCGGTTCATCTGTTCATGTCTGGTTTGTCCTTGGTCTGTTCATGTTGTCTGTTCATGCAGGCTGTGGTATCCTGTGTCTCCGGTTGTTGTTCTTTGTGTGCCCTCGTGCTTCGGTTTCCTGTTCTGTTGGTTCACCAGTTTTTGTAAGTTCTAAAGTTCTGTTAATAAACATTTTTTGCACCTCATTCCCCTGCGTTGGCTGCGTTTGGGTCCGCCAAAATCTAGATGACATATCAGTTATTTGTTTATGTTGTCAGTTAGCTTGTAACCAGCAGTGTCTGACACAGTGTTAGCGGATGAACTTTCGCTCTCTGTACTGACAAGGTTTCGGTGACCAGTGAAAGAGAAGTGTGTATCAACAAAGTTAGCATTAGAGGGAACATCAGGGCGAGTCAGCCACATGTTTGAGCCTCAGTCAGACCCGGCCTCAGATGAGGAGTGTCTTGTTCACCAAAATCGGCGACTAGCAGACGTATCAGAAGGTTTAGTATGTTTTATTTTATCATGATTGTTATCTTGCAACTGGCAGTGATTGACACAGTGTTAGTGATTGTGCTAATACAAACTCTACCTCTCTGTGCTGTCAAGGTTTCTCATTTATTTTGCCCGCCCCACGTCTCTGTGGACAGTATTGGTCCCTTAGTTATGACGTATGAATCTCTGGCTGCAGTTCCACCATGGACATATGCAGTCATGACTTGACTGCTTATTTCGCTCATGATATCTTGTACAAAAAACACAAAACATATGGACATGTTAATGAAATTAAAATCTTTAAGGGGGGTCTTTAAATAATGCATCATATTTACCCTGCTGAAGGGTGAAGGGGAAGCCTACAGCATTAAACATTTATTATTAGACTTTCAGTTTGCTCACTATCCATATATTTTGTTTTAATTAGACTACAAAATCTGAGGAGAAAACAAATGAACAATGATAAAATGTCTTTACTGTCATGTTTTATCAACAAAACGTCACATTGTTCTTGGAAAGAACTCTGTTTTAGCATGACTGCCCTGACAATAAGGATGAAAAAGTAATGGCATCACTTTTTGTATGGTAATAAACAGTGCTTAGTAACTTCCTTCATGGCAAACTACCACAGCACTTGTAGACCTAGGCTTTGCTGTGATATTGTTGCCTGGCGGGGTGAAGGGGCGCGGTGATGGCTAAAGATGCGTTTTCTGCGGAAGACTTGAGAGCGCATTTTGGGCACCGTCTTTGCACGAGGTCACGTCTTGTTCCCACCTGTTCCGAGGCGGGCACTTTGCAGAGAAGCAGGTCAATAGCTACTATGTCCTTAAAATGCCCCCACAGACCAGAGAGCGAAAGGGGTGGTCAGAGGATTGCGTGACATGATATTAGGTTACAGCGTCCTCAGTGGAGGCTTGAGTGATAAGATGAGGATCCAACCTTCCTGACAGCCGCAGCCTCTAGTTCTCCTTCGAGTGGTTCATGAGTAAATCAGAAGTGGAAAGCAACAGGAAGAAGGTAAAGTTTCTGGGTTTTTTTTTTTGGTTTTGATTATTTTGGACGTCGATTTGATTGTAGCCTAAGTGATTACACACATTTCTAAATAGTCTCTTTTAGTCATGCTCCGTCTTCTGTTGTAAAAAAAAAAAAAAAAAAACTTTAATCACGTTTCAGATTATATTTATGTTGGTGTTTTCAGTTAAACAGGAAGGTGTTTCCACTGTGTTTTTTTTTAATGAAAACCACATTTTAGGCAAAATGTAATTCTGGACTGATGGCATTTTTCTGCTACTTGAAATTTTAAAGTATATTGCATTGTTCAAATTAGTGTATACACCTAGTACAGTAATAACATGAAAATCTTTAATCACATGAAATTTTAAATGAATTTACACCCATGTCAACAATATTATTATAGGCTATAATATAATTTAAAACACTACAAATACAGTTTTGACAGTTATACTTTTCCTACTGTGTCTGAAACATTTAAGTTTAAATTGAAATCTCTTGTCCTTTTCTCTTCCATTCTCAGTTGACACTGGGTTACTGTAGCAACAATGTCACAGCTGTATTACCGGAAAACTGACAACTCCTCATACAGGGACCGCATCCCTCTGCGGATCGTGCGGGCCGAATCCGAGCTCTCTGCTCTGGAAAGAGCTTACCTGGGGGCTGTTGAGAAGGGGGACTATGCCAGTGTGAAACAAGCCCTGGAGGAGGCTGAGATCTATTTCAGAATCAACATCGACTGCATCGACCCCCTTGGACGCACAGCCCTGCTCATTGCCATTGAAAATGAGAATCTGGAGATCATTGAGCTGCTGCTCAGTTATAATGTATATGTGGGTGATGCCCTGCTACATGCCATCCGTAAAGAAGTAGTGGGGGCTGTGGAGCTGCTGCTCAACCACAAGAAGCCACGAGGAGAAAAACAGGTAGGTACCATTCATGTTTCATGATAATATCCTATATACAATTTCAATTTACATATGTGTGTCTCTTTAGGACTCTTTGCTTCTGCACAACAGAATATGAACAATTATGCCTCATGTGACTGTATACTCATATCTGTATGTCACTAACCTGTGTATCAAATTTCCAGGAGCATTAGTTACTGAACATGGTTAAGTTTTTGCAGTTTTTGAGTGTCATGCTGCATCACTGTCAGCTACTAATTCCAGCTAGACTTATAAAGTGGTTTCTCCTTATGTGATGCTTTCCTTTCAACTACTGTATATCCTACTCACAAAGTCTGTCTGAAATGAACATGCACTTATGTCCATGTCTGAAGAGAAAAAAGCACAGTGTGTCGTGCCTTTAATCTGCATCTATGAGAAACATGTTCACTGTCCTGTTTAGCAGCAATGATCAAAACATTTTTACAGTATAGTTTATTATGCAGTTTGTTAGTTTGTTTTAAAATTATGTCCTCTATCAGCGAGTGCTTGAGATTTTGGTAGTGCCCCTGGATATACTGGTGACTTTTCCAGGGTCTTCCCAGCTCTCCTGGACTAGGCCCTAGTATTCTCCGTCCCTGAAGAGCATGAGCAGATCAGAAAAATAGATTTGAGATACTGCTAACATGCCTGCATTTATAAACCCCAGCACTTGCTGGACAGCAAATTTTAAACTACCAGGATGTCACAGTATAATCCTTGTGTGGAATTGGACTAAATGGCGTCAGAAGTGAGAGGTTTTCTGTCATTTTATTCTTTAATCTAAATATAATTCAGATGATGAAAGAAATATTAACTTGATTTTTTCTGTCTCTTAGTTTCAGGCATGTCTGTGTTCATTTTGGAAATCTAACTCTTATTTCTGCTCAAAAGTTGCAGCACTGACGTGCTGCTGTAGGTCTTTTTGCCAGAGCTTTTACAACAAAAAGTCATTCCCCGCAGGTTGTGTATCATGCAGTTTGATAAAGGCCCTGGTTGCGCTCAACTTCTTTACATCTTTGTAAAATTGTTTTTCGACACTGCTGGGTTTCCTTGTAATGGACTTGGTGTTTTCTGTGAAGAGAAGGAAAAAGAAAAACAGCCTGTAGTCGCTTCCAACTAGGAGGATATTTTGAGGGCAGTGGAACCACAAGCCATTAGCTGTGTGCTTGCTGTTAGACAAGATGGTCAGAGACCCAAGACAGATGAAATTAGACCTATTCAAAGGAGCTGCTTCAGTTTTGTGAGGGGTCTAAAAAGCAGTGTTTTTTTTGTGATATATCTGATAAAATGTTGATGTACTGTAAATTGAAGTTAGGTCTGTTCACATGCGTGTTCCTGTCTTGATTTCCTGACAAGGTCCCACCAATTCTGCTGGACAAACAGTTTTCAAACTTCACCCCAGACATCACTCCAATCATCCTTGCAGCCCATACCAACAACTATGAGATCATCAAACTGCTTGTGCAGCGAGGGGTTTCCATACCTCAGCCACATTCTGTACGCTGCAACTGCATGGAGTGTGTGTCCAGCTCAGACGTGGATGGCCTGCGTCACTCACGCTCTCGTCTTAACATCTACAAGGCCCTATCCAGCCCGTCCCTCATCGCCCTCTCCAGCGAGGATCCTTTCCTCACGGCTTTTCAGCTCAGCTGGGAGTTGAAGGAGCTCAGTACAGTGGAAAACGAGTTCAAGTCAGAGTATGAAGAGCTGTCCCGTACTTGTAAACAATTTGCAAAAGACCTCTTGGACCAGACCCGAAGCTCTAAAGAGTTGGAAATAATCCTCAACTACCGTGATGACATCAATCCTCTGCTGGATGAGAATGGAAATGATCTGGCACGACTGAAGCTAGCTATCAAATATTGCCAGAAAGAGGTAAGCTTTGTGTTGATTATGATATGCTTTGTCACATGACTGCTGTGGCCCACAGCAGTGCAACAGGTTTTTAATGGACATCTTAAAGATGACAAAGACAAGTAAAGAACAGTCTATTTTCATACTAAGTATCACAAGATCACAAGGTATTACATTCTTTGAACAACATGGACTAGATAACAAGAACAGTGCCAAGATGAGCTGTAAATGGCCTGAAATGAGTGGAAATGTCCTTTGGGAGTTTAGAGCAACATGTAATTGCCAGGCTGGCTCTTAGAAATGCATTACAGTAGCCCTTTCAGACAGTCCCATGACGACTGGATAATTGGGGATAATGATGGAATAAGTGATGACCATTTCCCTGAAATACAAACTCATAATATTTTAATTAGGGAGGGAACCTTTTACTGCCTTTTAACGTGTTCTTTTGAGTATTTATCCCCTGGATGCAATACCAACTTTCTGTCATTTGTTGTGAAATAGACGTGCTAAAAATTACACATTGCGATTACACAGTGGGAGTAACAGAATAAGATACACAAACAACAATTAAGTATTATTTATGAAGTTTATAATAGATTATACCTGTAAATGTATGTATATATCACAAGGATGTTTACTTAACACAGCAGCAAGTAACAACAATAAATGTATAAGCTGGTAAAAAGTGATGCCTTTGGTCTCAGTGTACCACATTTAGAAAAGTGGACTTATCTTGTATCCTAAATTCAAGATTGTTTTGTTTGTTTCACTCATTAAAAAGACCACTTAGAGCTTTTGGGCCTTTATGTATACAGCAGTTGTATAATATTTACAGAGTTAAAGGGTCAGACAGAAAGATCAGCGTGACTGTTTCCAATTCCATGTGCCACAAATGGTCTCCTTGGCAAAAGGTTTTAAAGTTGAACTTCAAGGGCTCACTGGCTATTGGGTTTATTACAGGTGGATGTTTTGGACAAGGTGTCTGTGGCTGATTTCACACACATTTTACATTGAATTTCTATTTTCTACACTACTACTACAATAACTACTACTACTACATAAAATAACAATAATAATAATGATGATGATGATAATATTATAATGATGACGACAGACCTGTTATTATCAGGTTAGGGTTACCTAAAAATAATGTAGTTTTAAGACAGCAGGGCACATTGTAAAAAGAAAAAAAAAAGTTTTTAAAGCAGAATTATGAAACATATTCATATATAAATATAATCAGAATATTGAACACTGGTGTCTCTAAACAGCAGAGATACCACTGTTTGAACTACATAACATGCAAACAAAACTGTACACTTGTCAACTCGGACAGTCTTGGATTTCTTTATTCCTCTTAAGTTTAATAATTATTTCCTGAGATGAGATTTGACTTTTTCGAGATCTGAATGTCTTTAAGAATCAACTTCACTTGAGATTTGGAAACAGAAATGTTCGGCAATTTCAGCAATTTTGAAATAGTAAAATTCTAGAGCAATAATAAATATGATGTCAGGCAGGCCTTGTATAGTTGGTGCTACTCGTCATGTGTCATTTACGTATTTGGTGAGGCTTACTCAAGAAAAATCAACTTGATAAAGCAAAAGAGTTTTTCCCCATTTGGGCTCATGTTTGGAGGAACAGTAACAGACTACTTGGCTTACTGCAGCTGGGTGACTCTTTGTTGCTATTATTTATGTGTTAGTTCCTGTATTTAGTTCATGAATATTGATGATCACAGAGTTGTTTTTCATTCTGTGCATAATAATGACGACCCTTATTGATGCCTTTTTGTATTGTATTGAATTATGTATGTTGTTCATGCTCCATATACAATATTATCAGTTGGAGACAGTTGATTTGCAAGACTAAAATTTTACATACATACATTTTTTTATTCTGACCCCACTCTGTTAGAGCAGATGATAGGGGACAAGCATCTAGAGTGAAAAAGTAGAAATGTCTGTTGTTCCTTTTTATAGCACAGATTTTATAACCCTGTTAAAGATGCTAGAAGATGAATGCCATTATTGTATAAGGTATTGGTGCTTTGTACACCAGATAACTCCTGACTAGTTTTTTGAAGCCAAAATGTTTTAATTAAGGTTGCAAACAGTAGGGAGTAAGTAAAATCACTATCAGTGTTTGTCCTGCCTTTCCCTAACTGCATAGAGATGGCCAGTGAGTGGTTGTTGTGTACTGCCTGTGTGTGTGTGTGTGTGTGTGTGTGTGTGTGTGTGTGTGTGTGTGTGTGTGTGTGTGTGTGTGTGTGTGTGTATATTGCATGGAATGCCGTCGTCCATTTTACCACTAACAACCAGACAAATAACACATGTCCTTGAGATGGGTTGTTATAAGGGATTGCCATTTTGGACTTCTGTAAAGAAAAGGCACCAAAGTGGTGTAGTTTAATGGACGAAATAGACCACCAGCACTTACTGGATGTCCACATTATTAGTGGTAAAGTGCTCCTTTAATGTATTCAGTAAAGATGTTTGCTTCTGTTCTCCTGCCACCTTCTGCACTCATTCTGTTCCAGCCCGGGTTCACCCATCTTTAAACACATTGCACAATGATGAAGCTGTATGTACAATACATTGTAGTAGATTACAAAAAAGTATTATCAAAACACTACTTGCTTTTATTTTCTTACCAGAACTTGATAATTATGTTATTAATTATTAAGTTTCATCACTGCAAAACTGGAATTACAAATCCTAGCTCACAGTAAAGTTCATATCTTAAATTTCCATAAGTTTCATTAACAGTTAAGTACCACATGATGCCACATGATCAGAGAACTTTCAGTGCTCTTCACATGACTGCTGAGTAGCAGGATGCACAGTGATAGTTTATTTCATAATTTAATGAATGCAGCAAAACAGTGTAGTGTTTTATAAAAAATCTAATTGCTGAATTAATAGTGTTTCTACGTAAGTAAGGAACTAGATAACATAGAGTTCAGGTTCTTTCTGTGGAATAGATTTTGATATGTTCATATTAAAAAAATAATCGGACAAAATTGTATGAATTATCTTGAGTAATCAACACTATACAACATGTCATCACTATGCCATAGCACAGAATTAATACTTATCTTCGAAGGGGAGAGTGGTGTGATGTGGATGAAGCGATTTTCACCTCCCAAAAATGTCCTCCCAAAATCTGGTCCTGCCAGATGCCACTGTTTGCCTGCAGTCATGTTATGGCAAGTCGATATCTCACAAGGACAAATAGGAAACATTAAAGATGTCAGATTCTGCACTGATAGATGACCTCATCACCCACAATTTAATGCAATATAGTACCAGAATGGGGATCCATTTGGCCATAATTTGGTTAAGATGAAATTAACTTCCATCACCATCCGCAGATGTCCAGCAGATGTTTATATTAAATCTCAAGGGGCAGAGAAAATGTGTATGGGAAACAAATTTGACAATGATTTCTTAACAGAGGATTAGGGAACACTTATAATGTTTGTCCACAACTATTGTCCTGCATGCCTCTCTTTCTCTACAATGAGGTGAAGAACGTTGACACATGCTCTCTCCATCCCTAAATATTGCACTTGCTATGGATTAGCAACAGGCGGCAGTTTGGCAGTTTTTGCCATTTTAACATCAGGCCTGAGACTGTTTGAGACTGCAGGGAAAACGGTGTATGATACATCTATGTAAAGGAGAGCTTTTTTGGTCCAGGCAATTGTCTGCTCTGGCACTCCCTGCATAAATTACTGGTATATATTAGGCAAATTCTATGTTCAGACACACAATAAAATTTTATAATAAATAAAAAATAAATAAATAAAAAATAAAACTTTCATCTTTGTTTCTCTCTTTCTCCCAGTTTGTCGCTCAGCCCAACTGTCAGCAGCTGCTGGCGTCTCGGTGGTATGATGAGTTCCCAGGCTGGAGGCGGCGTCACTGGGCAGGAAAGCTCATCACATGTATCTTCATTGGCCTCCTCTTTCCACTGTTATCTATCTTCTACCTGATCTCTCCCAAGAGCCGCTATGGTCTATTCATCCGTAAGCCTTTCATCAAGTTCATCTGTCACACTGCTTCCTACCTGACTTTCCTCTTCCTGCTCTTCCTGGCCTCGCAGCATATAGCCTCTGCACAACAGGACTTTCAGGGTCCAGCACCCACCACTGTGGAATGGATGATCTTGCCTTGGGTGCTTGGTAACAATGACACACACACACACTAACAAATTTTGTTCATGATCATTTAATCATGCACTGATGTATATCTGTACACTGTAGTCCCACACATTTGAAAAAAAAAGTCAAACAGAGGTAGCCTGCTTACTGTGACCACAACCACATGTATGCAGCTGTCTACACACCAGTTGTTTGATGACCTCTGTTGTTCATCTCTCCAAGGCTTTATATGGACTGAGATCAAACAGATGTGGGATAGTGGTTTCCAAGACTACATAGATGACTGGTGGAACTTAATGGACTTCATAATGAACTCCTTGTATCTTGCAACCATCTCTCTGAAGATTGTTGCCTATGCAAAGGTACTGTATATGTGGAAGGTATTTGACAACTGTGGATTCAAAATTGGTCTGATCTACACAGTATATCAAAGATTGCAGCATTTTTACTTAATTAAAAAGCAGATATATTAACTCTACGCCTTGTTTCAATCACAGTTTAGCTGAAAGTGGAAAATGAAAATAAATGGAATTACCATACATTAAAAGTAACCTAGTGTTCTGGAAATGTTGCAGCATTTTTTTCTGATGGCAGTTTATGTATTCATCTTCCTCCTTATTTCTTTTTTACAGTACAGTGGGTACAAAGACAGAGAGTGCTGGGAAATGTGGCACCCAACTTTAGTGGCAGAGGCATTGTTCGCTATCGCCAACATCTTCAGCTCCCTGCGTCTCATCTGCCTTTTCACTGCCAACTCCCATCTCGGACCCTTACAGATCTCACTGGGTCGCATGCTTCTGGACATCCTCAAGTTCCTCTTCATCTACTGTCTAGTGCTTTTAGCCTTTGCCAATGGCCTCAACCAGCTGTACTTTTATTATGAAACAGATGAGGAAAATAAATGCAAGGGCATCCGCTGTAGTGAGCAAAACAACGCCTTCTCAACGCAAGTTAAAATTCTTAAATAGTTTGTGACAAATCTGCACTGGTAATAATTAATAAGTTTGTTATTCAGTGGCGCATAATGTGATGTATGGTTCTTTGCTTTTCAGGCTGTTCGAGACACTACAGTCATTATTTTGGTCTGTGTTTGGCCTGATTTCCCTCTATGTGACCAATGTGAAACCACCACATGAATTCACTGAGTTTGTGGGCTCTACCATGTTTGGCACATACAACGTTATTTCCCTGGTAGTGCTTCTGAACATGCTAATTGCAATGATGAACAACTCATACCAGCACATAGCTGTGAGTGGTGTAGCTTACTTATTTTTAGTTTTACTGCATGAATTTGTCTTGTAGTCCTTTGATGAATTGCTGTTTGTTTCTCTTTTCAGGATCATGCAGATATAGAGTGGAAATTTGCAAGAACAAAATTATGGATGAGCTATTTTGAAGAAGGGGGGACTTTGCCATCTCCATTTAATATAATACCCAGTCCAAAGTCAGTTTTTTATCTAATTGGATGGATAAAGACTTATTTGTTTAGGAGACCAAGCATAAAACGGCATGAAACCTTTGAAACCCTGGGGGTAAGGAGTTTCCAGAAATATGCTCTGATCTATGTTGTCACCACTGTATGGCAAAGATTTACAGACCAATCTGTCTGGTCCTATAGCCTTAAAACAAGTGGCTCCAATTCACTCAACCAATGAATACAAAAATACATATTGCTTTATTAACTGCTTGTTAATTGCTCTTTGTTGTTTTGTTTTTAATTCTAGAGACGTGCAGCTGAAAATGTAAGATTAAACCATGAGTACCAGGTAGGTAATAATTTCTTTTCCATCATGTACTTTAATATTTTCATGTTTTTTGTTGCAACTTTATTTAAAGAGCAAATGTGTAGTTTGCTTTAAAAATAATGTGTATGTTTTAGGAGGTTTTGAGGAACCTTGTGAAACGTTATGTGGCCGCAATGATCAGAGATGCCAAGACAGCAGAAGGGTTGACAGAAGAGAATTTCAAGGTAGTATGCAGTTATTCAAAATTGAAACCTCAATAACCCAAGTTTTTTTTTCTCTGCCGTGTAATCTCTGGTTCTCAATAAATGATAGGAGCTTAAGCAGGATATCTCCAGCTTCCGCTACGAAGTCCTGGGAATGATGAAGGGTAAATCTCATGTAGCAAGTAAAGTTGCCAGCACCACCTTGGCATACCCTGGAAACCCATTCAAATATTCTCCCAAATTCCCTGCTGATGAGCCTAAACGGAAGCTAACCATGTTTGATGTGATCACCACCACACTACAGAGTGGAGCTGCCAACACCACCAGCTCTGTTTGCTCCAACAGTCTACAAAGTGGTTCAGTTGTTCCATCCAGTACTGGAAAGAGTCAGAAGGAGCTATGTGAGGATGACTCAGATGCTCGGTCCTTCCAGAGACAGAGCAGACTTCCCTCTCAGAAATGTGATGAAATATATTCATTGTCAGAGGAAGAGTCATCGGGATCTGGTGGACAAAACCCAGAACAACTTCAGACTGAGAAAGTAATTGTAGAAGTGGAGAGGAACATTCAGGAGATTGAACATTCTTGCATAGAGCACATAACAGAAGTGAAAAATGGGCCAAAAAAATATAAAAATTAACCTGTCTGCAAGTTAGAGCAACATTTTTGGATTCCATTTTTAAAGTTGCATTCTTTCTTCTACCAGTTTTAAAATAGTTTATTAAAATAAACTAATTCTCTCAAGGTAAACAGTACTGTAGCTAAATAGTATATTCACTTTGAATATTGTATCCTGTCATGTATAAAATGGTATAATATTACATTATTTCACATTATATTACATGCATTTATCTCTGATTGACAAGAAATACAAAAAAATAAGTGAGGAATGACCTCAGTTAGTGCTGACTTGACGCTCAGGGAGTTGTGACACAGGTCAGTATTTAATGTTTGACCTTGAGCAATTAATTCCAAAAAAGCCAAGACACCCTGTTGCCTATCCTCTACTCTTCCATCCCCGAATTGTTATCTTATGTGATATGCAAAAATACTATATCTTAAATATTAGTGCTGATATGCTGATAGTATTCAGTTCAAAAACAAAAACATTATCACTGAGTAAAAACATGTTTATTTGTATTTAATGTGTTATCTAATTTAGTTAGATTATCTACTATTAGATTAGATAATTATATTAGTGATGAGGAACAGTTTTAATGGTAGATATTTTACTCCGCAGTTACCTCCCCTTTCTTTTGAGTGAGAGGGAAAGTTTCCCCCCTAGTTTTGTTGTTGGAGCACTAGAGACACCCAATTTAATCTTTATGAGATGCGCTGCAAAATACATTCCTCAATCTCCTCAATTGTTCTTGCATCAGCAGTTAACCTTGCAACCTTAAAGGCATAAGGACCTTCTGGCAATGTGCTGCTTTTGTGCAAACTTGTGTCATGTATTGGAATTACTCTATGATCAAATAAAAGTAAATGCTAATTTAAATTTTTTTTCATTTTTTTTTTCTTTGTCTGATTGTTAATAATTCTTGCTTTTAATTGTTGTACTCTACTTTTCTCCATTTCTCTCATTTCATGGTCAACTAATGCATGGTGACACTAAACTAACCTTAAGACAGATGGGACATAGTAGGTGGGGAAACAAATGAAACTCTTTCATGAATTGGCCTTTCTCTTGATTTACTTTACTGCTGAAATTTTCTCTCTCATCGTGTTTACTGGTGAAAAGAGTTAGGTAAATAGTTTATTACCCTCTCTCACTGTTTAAACAGTGGTCCCTCTAACTTAGTGCACTAGATGCACAGTTTATATCCCCACACTGAGAGAGTTCTCTCTTGTATTTTGTGACTAGTCTGAGCAGAAGCGTAACTCAAGGCTCTCTTGCACTCTCTTATTTGCAGAATAATTGCTAATCTGGTACCTTATTCATATCCTGTCTGTTCATTCAGGTGTAAACTGACTCCACCTTTGGTACTGTATAATTTGAGCTATAAATTAATTGTTACTCCTGGAGCTCTTCCCATTAACTGCATGCTATCACAATTTTTTTCAAAACAATTTGCTGTATTTCATAACACAATTTCTTGCAACTATGGAGCAATGAAAACTCTGTTCTTAAGTACAATGTTCAGATATTTTTCTCCGTTTCTATTTTTTGCTACTTTATACTTTAACCTGACTGCATTTCACACACAGAATCAGTTTTTCACATGCAAATATGCATGGTTAGATTAAACTGCCCAAAATGTATAAAATAGTTGAAATTAACAGCTCCTTGAAAAGTTAGAACATTAAAATACTGTTTACATGTTAATGGATCACAAATAATTTGGTCATTCTGCATGAGTACTTTTACGTGAGAGTACATTTTGCTGCTAACACAATACTGTTCTGAAGAAAATAAAGTCCCTCCACTTTCCACTAACCTTTGCTTTAATGCTACGTAAACCTAAAAGGTCAGATGTTGATTGTCACTTGGAATGGTATAGTAAAACTACAATCTAAATTGAAATTAGTAGCTTTACCAATACTTGGCGTTGTTATTTCCAGGAGAAAAATTATTTTGCATGAAAGCACTCTCTAGTGATATGTAAGCATTAAAAGACTAGTGCAGTGGTTTGGGCTAAATAAAGATATGTAAACAATGGCATCACTGTATAGACTGTGCACCCAACTGTGTTACTTATCCTTTCAAAGACCGAGTTTGACTGAGTTTATTTGAGGTACAGTAATTACTGTATTACTGCTGTAAGCATATTATTAACGGACACTGAGTCACTCATATTATGTACTGACACTGTAGCACAGATATTTAACTTCACACCTTAATAGCTTGATTCTGCAAGCAACCTGGGCTGCCGGATGAAGTCTTCAGTTACCATAGCAGCCGACAGCAAATCACACAAAGCCAATCAACAGACTGTTATGTTTTTTTTTACTATGTCTGAAGTGCTCACTCAATTTAGATTGCTGTTGCATTTTTTCCTTTCATTTAAACTTAAAAGGAGCTTAAGAGCAGTATGCAAAGAGAGGAAACCATATTATGGATCAAATGTTACTTTATCCATTCTTCCTGATACATGCAGTCATTGTGTCTGGGTCTCAATGTGTGTGAAAGTGACTGATTAGGACAGAGACTGTTCTGATTCCAGTGTAAATGTCATGCTGCATTTATTTATCACTCTAGAGAGTTCATTGGTGCCATTATTTCTCAATGCAAGCAAGTACAGAGTCTGTAGTTTGAAAATTGGCTGCTTACTGGAATGTTGGGATTGTAAAGTTAATGTATTCCAGTCTTTGGGATTTTAAGAGAGATGAGAACCCTGGGTAGGGATTTTATGCATAAGCACTTTTCCAAAGGCCTTGACTAATCAAGTTCATAAGAGGCTTGCTGCCTTGAAAATGTCGCCTTTTCAATGGACACGTTATTTGCTGAAGGATTCATTTTCTGATATGTTAAAGTTTGCTACTTTCGCTTGCAGGTTAAAAATAAATATATAATACATACTGAGTGAGGCCTATAGTTTTCAGCCCCAGATCTGTGCTGTAGTATTGGGTTCTGGGTTGTTTCTTTTCCCCTTTTTTACAATGCACTGACTTAGCTGTCTAGGAGGACATTACTTTCCTGCTCACATTTGGAACATCTGGCTGGCCAGTAGGTTTAACAAGATGCTGTAGAATGAATGGTGTAAGTGATGCCACTTGGGTATGCTGTGAGTAACAATACCCATTTGTAAAGCTGAAGAACAGATACACTTTTAGAACTTTTGAATGTTTGAATGCAATAAACAAAATGATATAGTCTTTTTAATTACCCAACAAATGGCAGTAGTAATTTTAGATACTACTTTTTTACAGGAACCACGAAACATTTAATACACATTATAAAGTAGCTGCTTTAATGTTTAACAGGAGTGCTAATGCTGTTTATATGTTGCAGCTCATTATCTATCTTATAACAATTCTGGGATTTCACACTGTGCATGTGAGCAATTTCACAATTAATTCCCAAGTCTTGTGTGCGAAGTTGTATCCAAGAAACTATTGTTAACACAAAAATATAAATGTCTTTGTCCTATTAGATCATGTGTTACAAGACTTACCAACCAGTTTAAGAGTTTGAGGTATGGATCAGGCTGGTGTGGCTCCACTGAGAAAACGCAAACAGATTATGATCAAATTTGACAGACAGGTTGGACTAATATGAATACAAGAACATATTTTTTGGATATTCATTCCATTTTCACAATTGAAATTATTGTGTTACATAGTAATACTTTGAGACTCACTGCCTACATTCCATCCCACCACTAGATGGCACAAACTACATACTAAAAACAATCAGTGCTCTGGCATTTGTTCAGAGCATAGATTATGTAATGCTTCTTTGTCTGCAGTCCAAATAAATGACACTTTCATAGACAAGATACAGCTTGATTCTGCATCCCAGATATTCCATCTGCTCAGTATATATGTCTCTGAAGTGGAGGCCATCTTCAGGGCTCTAAAAATCATGCTGACTTATTTTGTAGTGGTGCACTGAGAAATAAATTTACTTAAGCAATTTGTTTAAAACATAATATAAAATGTATAAAACACAATCAAGCCTTTAAATCTTGACTGTTTTAAACAAAAGGTGCACTAATGTGTCCATATGAGGTTACTGGTTTTCATTACAATGGAATTCTTAATCAAGTAGGCTAACATCATCTTTGTAATGTGGCTTGTTTTAAAATGAATCTTTTTGTGAGAAACGCAAAATCTGTGCACCTTTAAACCTGCATACAAAAGGAATGACAAAGATGATTACAAAATATTTCTGTAAATGTGGTGGTGGTCCCACTGTTTAAACATTTCCATCAAAAATTATTTAATATATAAAATAATTTATAGGTCACAATTCATCACACAAAAATCATGAATCTCAGTATATTTGTTAATAGAAATGTAGTTTTTTAGAGGTTCTGGGTGGTCCATACTTGCAGGAAATGCAGCCACCCCCCTTGAGTGGTGGGTGAGACTCATGGTATATAAACTCCCACTCTGAGTCTTCGCCCATTACTCTGGGTCTGGAAGGGCTAGCTAAGAAATCAAGGATGAAACTCCTTTTTGTAGCTGCCTTTGCACTCTTTGTGCTCTCTACATTCGACCAGGCTGACTCTTCAGCTTATGACAAAATAGTTGCCCACAGTCGCATTAGGGCAAGAAAAGAAGGGTAAGCCTATCAACACTTTTCATTATGATTATGTGTGTATGTGTTTTTTTTAACACTCTTGTGTTGATTTTATTTTGCATGTAATAGTATTGAACCTTGAGCATAACAAGCATCTGTAGTTCTCATTTCTGCACATTTGTGTCATTTCTATTTTTGTTAAATATGCTATATTGTTATGCAGTCACAATTGATTCACAGCATATGTCATGAAAGGTTATTGGATAATGCAATTCCCTTAGAGAAGCTGTAGATCAGCAGGCTTATAGTTGTCTGGCATCAAGTACTCAAATCTGACAAAACCAATTTCATTTCCAGCAGACAGATGTTATTATTCACATCTGACTGTTTGGTCTCAGAAACAGCAGGGGTAGTTGCTAAATAATTATTCACACTTGGTAGTCTGTTGTGATTCCCAGCAGGGCTGTTTTTACCATAATAATTTACATGTGAATAAACTCATTTTCCAAAGAATCTATCTCATGTGTTTTACCTGCTGATTAATGTTTCATTCTCATCAGACCCAATGTCTGCGCGCTCCAGCAAGTCATGGGGACCAAGAAGAAGTACTTTAGCACTTGTCGCAATTGGTACCAAGGGGCCATCTGTGGAAAGAAAGCGTAAGTGTTGTTTCATGTTTCCAACATGACATGTTGTTTCTCCTGTTTAAAGAACATAAGCAAATTGAATGGCTAAAAAGTTTTTGAAAGTGTGGCATTTCACTTTCTAATCTGCTCCTTCTTCTTCTTCTACTTCTTCTTCTCTGAGGATTTTCATGGAAACTTGGATGTTTCCATAGAGACAGACATCTGTTAACTTACTTTGAATGAAGCTATCGCTTAAAATGAATAACACATTTATGGACACAGCCCTAAACTCTTTGTATTGAAGACTCTCCCATTCGATCTTATAAATTGTAAGTTGGGCTTTTCATAACTTAAGAAGCCTGGTCATCATTGGATGCCACTGTGGTGAACCACTGATTCCAGGATGTGATGTGGTGGCAAAATGTTGCCTGTATTCATGAATGGAAAAGCATTCAGCTCAACTGTTCTAGAGAAGCTCTTTTTCTGTTATTGTTCCAGCTCTCTCAGCACTTTTGTGTTTAAACATGGATCGAAGCCATGCCTATTTTACAGTCTCTCTCACTCTTTCTCTCACTCTTACACACATATACACACATACAGTACGCATACACTGAGTTTGCCCTCTCTTCTTGCATTATCACTG